GAAATTGGGCACGGGCGCCCGCGAGCGCCTGTGAGTGCCCGCCTGTTGTGCACATCTCAGGAGCGTATCTAATATTTTTAGTATCTTGAGATAAAGTTCCGCATTTCCAAATGAAACTTAATTTATGGATCAATCAATTTCAATCTCGACAGTTGTTGCATTTTTCAAATTTATTATCTGTTGCCATGCACATTCAAGATAAGCAATAGAAATGAAGAATATATAAATTCACTTCAATTATTACATAATGAATTCGATTGTTGGTTTAGAGAAATGCATGTAGAAAAAGACTTACTTATTTTTATTTTACACCTTTCACTATTGATATTAATATTGTTCCCGCAGACAATTAGAATTAATAGATTTAAAATGTGACACTGCTCTTAAAAATCGTTTTTATACAATGACTGATCAAATACAATTTCATTCATATATATATACAATTTCATTCATATATATCTCAAGAACGTTTTCCTCGACTACATGCTTGTGCTGCAAAAATAATGAATTATTTTCTATTATGAAATTAAAATAAATCGCGATTATGCGAACAGTTAACAGATTCACATTTGAATTTTGCAATAATTTGTTTAAGTTGCCAAAATGATAACACCTGATATATTGTATATAATATCGGAAAACTATGAATCAAATACTAAATAAATGTTATAAGAGTTATTTATTTAATATTATTGTAAGAATTGTTTATTTAAAATATAGATAGTTATTAATTTATGCTAATTTTGGGTCTGAATTTGTGCACCACAATACTTTTTTATTCCTTTCACTTTCATGAGCAACTTCAATGAACAGACGTTCCTGCTATCCCTTCTCCTCATTTTATTGCCGCTTAACGCTAGTCCCAGCGCGCTCGACTGTTGCCCGCGAGTAGTGCTCACTTGCTGACCCTTGTATTAAGCGCTGATCCTATCCGGTAATACATTACAAAATATGTTTGGAAATAAACTTAAATTAATAAAAACAAAAATATGACATTATCAGAAGACACGGTAGTGTCTCGGGTGTCAAGTCAATCAGTAAAGGGTGACTTTACGCGAGTCGTCGAGGTTCGAGCATCTGAAATTATCGAATCTCAATAACGGCTATACTGAAGTTCTAAGTAGGCTTGATCGATAGCTTGAGTCCGACTTGCATAATAAAAGTATTTTTATTTTTCTGCTACGTGCCCTACAAGCACAGATATTGCTACACAAAGTCCGATTTGGAAATTTTTACTTTAAGAAACGTCATTATCGTCGCCTTTGTACGGCTGCAACGTCTGTCACGAGATGTCATTATTAATCTTATCGACCCAGCGGATTATCAGACTGAAGTCAAGGTTATTGTAGAATCTAGCGAATCAATGTTCGCTGGGTCCTGCAGTGACCCTGATTTATCGACCTGATTTATCCGCTGGGTCGATAAAATTGATTGATGTAAACACGATAATGCTTTTGGTTAGACCTCTCGGGTATCAATATAATAATAAATACGCGTATATTAAAATTAAAAAGGAAACAATAGCAGTATTAATAAATTGCATACTACTATTATTCTTTTTCTGCACGTCCGAGTGGTGGCTAACGATGTTGACGTTCGCGGCGAGTTTGACAATTTGTAATAATTTCGGAGTGTAACTCATGTTTCTGTTTATACTTTGCAGATAAGTTCTATTTTT